TCCAAACTAAATAATGATTTCATTTCAGCACATCTTCCATCATGTGAAATTATCATTTTAATGTTTTGAATTTAAATCGAAATAAGTAATAAAAACATGAATTCTGGATATTTTAGTATTCTAATTTTTTATTTTTATAGCTGTATAAAACAATAATCATAAAAGTTGTATTTCTAGATTTGTTTCTCTATACTTAAGTAGCATTATCATAAAAATAATTTAAAAGGAAAAAAAGTAGAGGGTCTATACTTTGCAATTCTTTTTTCAGACAAGCTCTTTGACCTTGGACAAGTGTGTTAGTTATATATTGCTGTGTAAAAAATTACCTTCAAACCTAGTGGCTTAATACAACGAACATTTATTATCTCACAGTTTCTGTATGTCAGCTCAGCTGGCTCCTCTGGCTCAGAGTCTCACTAGTGCAATCCAATTGTTGGTCAGGCCTGGGGTTTTTGCTGGCTGTTGGCCAGAGATATTAGTTCTTTGCAGTGTGGGCCTTCATAGGGCTACTCCCAACACGGCAGCTGGCTTCAGTCACAGAGAAGGCTCAGAGACAGAGAGAAGAGAGACATCCAGGAAAACAGAAGTCTTAGTCTTTTTGTAACCTAATCTCAGAAGTGACAGTCTATCACTTTGGCCATATTCTATTTATTGAGTCAGTAGGTGCAGCTCTCACTTGAAGGGAGGGGATTACACAGGGAACCTACAACAGGAGAAGGGATCATTGGAGCCATTTTAAAGACTACTTACTACAAGTAACTTGGTCTCTCTGTACCTCATCTACTTTATAGGAGACATTGTGACTATTGAAGAATTAAAATATGTAAAGTGCTTAAAACAGTACCTGGCACAGGGTGAGGACTAAAGAAACATTAGATAAGTATGGCTACAAAAACAATGGAAATGTATATAACTACTCTGTGTGATACACAGCACTAAGTTCATGGTGGTTCTTCAGGAAATACTTGCATTGAAAGACCTACACTCACTATTCAAAAGAAGTTTGAGCATGTGGAAATTACCCCCAGAAACAAAAGTACTTTATAAAGATAAAAGTTCCTACCATAATTATCAGGGGGCTTCTCAGTCACCTCCAAATTTCCCATAAGCTTTCCCTTATTAGAAATTTCCACACAGCAAGCTCCAATGCACTCCTGAGTCATCTCTAAATCTAAAGAGAAAAAGCCAACCACACTTTGCTCTGAAAATGCGCACCATTAGCCTGATTGCAGAAGTTGCCCAATTTGCAAAACCACACAATTTGTAAGTTACAGAAAGAAGGGCAAGAGCTCCTCTGCCTAGCTGGAGTATTTCTCATCGTGCTTAACTGTTCAGCTGAGATTAGGGGCCCACCTGTGAGGTTTTTCTTTTTTTTAAAGACACCCTGATATTTTAAGAAAAGAAAGTTTTCTCAGTACACCTTTAGTTTTTAAAGGGTAGTACAGAGGGGGTGATGGGTTAAGGTGTCCTGCTTTTCGCATGTCCCTTTTGTGCAATCCGGGACAGTGGGTGGGGGAAGAAGGCCAACCTGTCAGGCAGTAGATGTGGTAAATGAGTCACAAATCAAGAGATAACAAAAGGCTGGACCCCCCCACACACCCACCCCCTACTCCTCCCCAGGCCACAAAGTCATCCATTAAACACAAGCCCGGCAACAGTGGCAACTCCTCAGGGAAGATAAGCCTCACAACAATATGCATGCCCTCCTGATAGAGTGCTCTATCTAACTCACAGTGTGCAATGTGCAAATGCCCCAAGGAAGGAGGAAAAGGAAGGAGGACTGGAAAGGCCAGCCTGGCAACCTGGAGAGGTCACTAATATGGGTCAACCAGCAGGCCTGTCCACTACTGTCCCGCCTACCTTAAGTAATTGTCCAGAGATTTTTTTTTTTAATTACTCCCATCGACTTAATCAGGAGTGCAATAACGTTAAGGAGGAAGCAAGAAGAAATTTCTTCATACCATGGGGGGGCATCTGCCACAGTAACGATGGATGGGTTAGTTGTATTTTTAGAAAAATAAATCAAATCTGTCTACAGAGAATTGCTTTTCCTGTTTCAACACCTCTGAAACCAAATTGGCTTTTGAACAACCAGGGCCTAGCTAGCTAGAGCACTGAAAGTCCATGTCAACACGGCAAGGGTGGGGACCCTGCATCTCCAAGAAGAGCTAAAAAGCCCTGGGAACACGGGTACCTGCACTGAGGCCAGAGGTGGAGGGAAAGAAAATAAATCTTGGTAATAAATTCCACTTGCTTGGGTGTTAAATTAAAAGCGGAAAATATTATATTTCTCCAATAAAAGTGAAACTGAGGCTTTTTTCTGTTGTTGTCACCTTTATGTTCTTTATGATATAAAAGGCACAAATGGAATAAATAGCATATGATTTAATTTTTTTCCTCTCAAAACCAGCTAAGGAAAAATTTATGTAAAGTATGCCCACGAAATTCAGTGCTTTATTACAGGCTGTGCAACTGTTTCCTGACTGTTGAGTGTGCTAATCTTAACTCCTTAACCAGACTATAAGTAGGAGTCCGCATAATTGAAAGGGATATAGACTAGTAGTTAAGAAGAAGGACTCTGGAGCTTTTTCCAAACATTATCAGCTTTGTGATCCTGAGAAAATTAATCTCTGTGTCAGTTTCCTCAACTATAAAATGGAGATGAGAATAATAGTACCCATTATGTAGGGTTGTTACAAAGTCCTTAGAACCATCCATGAACTGGCACATAGTGGATACTCAATAAATATTAGTATTTGTTTTGTAGTCCCCTTTCCAAACTGATTCAGCCATGTTATAGTGCTTTTCAAAAACTACAGCAGTTACCCCTTGTCACTGAGGTATAGGTCTTATTAGGCCAGCTGAGGCTCCCATGAGCCACCCTCAACCCCCAAGTCCAATGCACTCCCGAATGCATTCTCTCACTGTGCTTTAGCTCCTGCTCCAACATCTTGACCCCCACCCCACCTGTTCATCTGAAAACCTCTCACATGAGGGACTGGTTTCCTGCATCACTCCCTTATTAGAATGGCAACTGAATGAGATCCATTCTCAGAGCCCAATGGCTGGTGCTTAATATATGCTCAGGAAAATGTTTACTGAATGATTGAATATCACGTCTATTAATTTTTTCCAAGATTTAGATCATATTCCAATTCCATGCCTGTAGTCCTTCTAAGAACCTTTTATAAGCTTAAATTTTATTTCTCCTGGGCTCTAATAACGTATTTCTTTAATAGATTTACTTGCCGATGTTCTGTATTAATATTAAATATTAATTAATAACATTTTTTATATAACAGCTAGAGTTTATGCTATAAGACAGGTACTGTTTTTATTCCACTTAGATTAGGAAACTGAGGCACATAAAATTATAGAATTTGCCCAAAGTCACATAGATGATAAGTAGAGGGCACCGTTCTTCACTCAGTCCTGTCTGTTATTCCTTATCACTGTCTCTCCCTCAGAGAATCATCCGAATCTCATCTAAGTAGCCCCTTCCTCCAGTTCGTGTCAGTGGCTCAAAGTACGCAGAGAATCAAACTGAACTCGGAACACACAGTATACCTTAAATTAACATGTGGTTCACTCTGCAGGGTGAGAGCCTACACCTCGCATTAAAGCGTTGGACTTCGGTGGGAACCTCAAAGATGAAGACGCGGTGCTTTTTTTGGGGTGGGGGGTGGTCATCCACTGCCTTCCTGAGGCCTCATGACCCAACTGATATTTCTGACATTCGTAGGGGATCTTGAAATCTCCTTTTAGTCAACGCTGTCCATGACCTCCTTCCTGGGCCTACTAAGCCAGAGGCGGTCAATTCAAAGAAGCCTTCGCCTTTCTGTTGGTAAAGGAATAAAGAGAGTTTACCTCCTCTCCACCCTCGGGACCAAGACTAAGGAGTGGCCCAAACCCACCCTTAACAGCCCAGCAGTAGGTCCTGTGCCGCTTCAGATCCTACCCGAGCCCCGTGCCCTGCTCCTTCTCAAAGTTCCGCGTCCTGACCCTCTGTTCCAGACTAAGAGCCCAGCGGGCCGCGACACCCGCCTCCACGCGCGCTGGTGACTCAACCAGGGGAAGACAAACCACTCGGTTTTTCCCCCACTAGTCCAGGGGCGCCCGCGTCCCGCCCCGCCCCGCCCACCATCCAAGCCCCGACCCGCTTGAAGTTGTCCCTCGGGTTTGAGGCTCGGGCACGCGTCGGCGTGGCTCCATGGGGTGTGGCCATACGACTTCGGCGACGCCTTCCCGAGGGGCGGCCTTCCCGAGGGGCGGCCTCCCGGACCCGGAAAAGCAGACCCTGCGCCGCCGCGGCGACTCGGGCATGCTCTTTGGCGCAGGCTGGGCCCGCAGTCCGTGCAGGAAGCACCCGCGCTAGGGGGCCCCCTGCACTGCCAGCTGGAGGCGGGCGGAGCCCGCGCCCCGTCGCAGGGTGGCTCTGCCAGTCCCCGCGCGCCTGGGCGGCCGCACACGTGTCCAGGCGTCACGTCCGCGCGCGCCCCCGGGGCTTGCGTCAGCTGCCGCTCCAAAAGCTGCTGTGCCGGGATTCTGCGCCCGGCTCCGGTTCGGGGCCCGCGACGCCGCGGGGAGGAGGGGCCTGGGGCTCAGAGGGGTATTCGGAACGTGGAGGCCAAGGGGATCTTCAGCGCGGTCCGTTCCTCCGCCTGCCCGGCTCCTGCGGTCTCCTCTGCTCTTCGCTGCTCGATCTCTGGCTGGGCGCGGTGGCGTTGCCCAGGAGGCCGCCCGCG